AAAAATCAGGGCGCCTCGGTGGCTCAGTTGGTTAAGTGTCCAACTTCAGCTCAGGCCATGATCTAACGGTTCATGAGTTCGAGCCCCGCAAGTTCGGGCTCTGTGCTGACGGCTTGAAGCCTGCTTTGGATTCTGTGTCTCACTCTCTCTCTCTACCCCTCCCACTCATGCTCTCTCTCTCTCTCTCTCTAAACAGTAAACATGAAAAAAATTTTAATAAATAAAATAAAAACATCAAACTAAGGCCCTTGACACTTATACCACATGTGTAAGGTTCTCTTTATTCATGCTATTCATCTTCCCTGCAGAAAGTAAAATCAAGATTTAGTTCTTAAAATCAGTCAGCAGCGGGTGTTCATGATTCTCTCCTCTCTGATATGATCAAAGATGTGTACACAAAAACAAACACTTCCCTCCCCTTTCATGCTCATATTTTTGTTGATGACAATGGAAAAGGGAACTTGAAAGGAAAAAAGTTAAGGACTGTGACAACGAAGCAAAATTTTATCTAAAATTAAGTCTTTTAAAAAGGGGAGAGAATGGAGGAGTGGGGATGGGCTTTATTCTTCTCTTGAAGAGTATCAGTGGGCTTTATTATGAAAACCTGGTTCTTTGTATTCACTATTCTAAAAATTCTTTTTTTGTCTGGCATTCTTAGATTTTAATAGGAGTATGAAAAGTGCGATCAAAATAAGAATTGTTGCGTTGTAGCATAAATGGAATTAAACTATTACACTTTAGATCTCAGATGTATTGGTGAATGAGTCATATGTCTCCATTCATTGCTTCTGTTGCCTGACAACAATTTTTCTAGATTCTAAGAAACTTTGAGGAAAATAAAATCCACTGGAACAAAGCAGAGAGATACATCTGCCAGGAATCTTTACATGCTCCTGTAGGTCTGCATACAAGCATTCTGCATACAGGAGAACTTAAAATGGAAGCCAAGTCAGCCTTTGCTTTTTGTTTACCCAGAATGAATCTGATTCTGGGTTGACTGGACTCTACTGGGCTGAGTAGGCCATGGGATTCCCGGACTACAGGAGCTCCCAGTGGAGCATGGCAAACCTACAATCTGGACTGGTTCTTACCGGTCTGGCTTCTTTATTTCTTTAATCACAATAAATCACTCTTCCATCTGCCTAGGAGCCTGGCAGAAACCTGCCCCTCTATCACTGAAGACAATTATCATATTCATTTGTCCATTCATTTGTTCAATCAACAAATATTTCAGAGCACCTATTATATGACACACATTGTACTAGACCCTGGAGATACAGTAGTGAGCAGCCCTCATGAAATTTACATTCTAGAAAAGGAGAAAGACAGTAATGTAACAATTAAATGGACAATATGATTTCAAATAGAGTAAATATTAAGAGTGATGTGGAAGAAGCATGCTCATTTAGATAGGTCAGGAAAGGCCTCACTAAAAAGATGGTGTTTGAGCTGAGACTTGAATGACCAGAAGAGCATGGTGATGGAGCCAAATGTCCCAGAGGAGGAAACTGCATGTGCAAAAGCCCCAGGATGGGAATAAGCATGGCATATTGAAGGAAGAAAAGGAAGGCCATTGTACTGAGGGGTAGTAAATGACGAAAAGAGTAGCACTAGATAAGGCCACAAAAGTAGGCAGGAGCCAAATCAGTGGAAGGCTCTGTAGGTGACAATAAGGAGTTTGGATTATCCTTTTAAAGCAGCAGGAGGCTCCCAGGGGATTAAGAATTGGAGTGAAAATGATCTGATTTGTATTTTTAATTATTTTTTTAAGTTTATTTATTTATTTTGAGTGAGAGAGTGAGAGCAAGAGAGAGAGAGAGAAGGGGAAGATACAGAGGGAGAGAGAGAATCCCACGCAGACTCCGCACCAGTGGGGAGCTTGATCCCACAAAATGTGAAATCATGACCTGAGCCCAAGAGTCAGGAGCGCAACCAAGTGAGCCACCCAGGTGCCCCTGATTTGCATTCTTAAAAGGTCACTTTGAGGTGCCTGGCTGGCTCAGCCAATAGAGAATACAACTCTTGATCTAGGGTCATGAGTTCAAGCCCCACATTGGGAGTGGAGCCTATATCATTAAAAATAAATAGTAAATAAATAAATAAATAGTCACTTTGTTGTATTAAAAATGGAGTGTAAGAGAACATAAGTGAATGCCTATCATCATTCATTCATCTATTCATATATTCAGAATATTTTTTGGGTGCCTAATTGCCAGGCAATGTGCCAAGCACTGGAAATCATGGTGACAAAAGCATTATTCCTCCCCTCAAGGAGCTTACAAGACCATTGGAGAGACACAGGAGTACATAGTCTCTTATAATGAGCTAAGTGCTGTGCTGGGAATAATCTCCATGTGACATGGGAACCCAGAAGAATTCATTCATTCATTCCTTTAGTAAATACTTATGTGCCCAGGTCTTAAGATACAATGGTGAACTAAACAGACAAGGCACATATCCCCATGGTGTTTACAGATTAGTGGAGGAGATACACCAATTAAACACACAGACCTATCATTACCCATTGTGATATGACCTATGGAAGACAAATGATGTGACTGTATAGGAGGGGAGCCTGGCATAGTCCGGGAGGGCTCAGGAACCCTGAAGCATGAGCTGCAGCTATGTATTTTAAGTAGAAATTTTAGGTAGAAAAGGAGAGGAAGATTGTCAATTATACCTCAATAAAGCTGGGGAAAGAGTAGGGAGAGAGTACTGTGGGCCAACCCCAGCTAGGTGGATTGGGAAACACTGTCTGACATCTAAGCTGAGTCCTGAAGGATAAGTAGAAGTTAGCCAGGTGAGGGGAGTTAGAGGGGGGAAGAGAAGGCATTCCAGGACGATAGAATGGCCTATGCAAAGACATGGAGGCAACAGAAAACACACCGCATTCTGGAAAAAAGCCAAGTGTTCAATATGGCTGGGCTGTATAGTAGTAAGGCACAGCAAGATTAAAGAGAATGGGGAGGTAAAGCAGGATTAGAATCTTTTGAACTTCATTCTGAGGGCAGCAGGAAACTGCTAAAGGACTTCAAGCAGGACAAAGACCAGGCCCAATGAAGTATTAGGAACTTCTCTGGACACACAGAGAAAACTGGCTGTGCCCTCACAACCTGCCATACTTTATCTAGAAGAGATCTTACTGAAAGTAGGTGTTAGGCTTTCATGGAAATCCCTCTTCAGGCTTTCTGAGCTGAGGGAGGGCTAGTTTAGCAAATGAGTTTGGCCACCCTATTTGGCCACTCTATTACTGCCTCTTCCCACTGTCCACAGCCCAGCACAGGACTAGCAGGATTAATGAATTCAAAAGACATCTGCTGGTTGTGCTGAGCAACAACTTATCTGGGTCTCCATAACTGGGCACACCAGGGAACCCAGTTTCCTCTAGCCTCATGGGCCATAATGTGGTGGACAGAGCAAGGGCCCTTCCGATATCAATGGTTTATTCCTTTCATTAATTTGCTTAAGGTGAGGTTATGGACAACCCTCCCCCCGCCACATGCACACCCAGACTAGTATCATTTGCACTCAGCATTTTGCTTTCATCTTGAACTTCCAGCCAAACATCTAGCTCTCTAGACCAAAGCCATTTTAGCCTGGTAGTGGGCAATGTCTTCTGATTGCTCTGCCCTCCAAGGGGTCTTTAGATTCAGGGGTGGGGGAAGGTGTCCTGTGTCTCCTTGAGACTAAGGCCCAGGACACCAGGGTGAGATTTCCAAAATGTTGCCTAGGTGCATCCTTCCTGCCTCAGATGGCTTCCCATTGTTACAGGATAAAATCTAAACAATTTAGCCCAGCCTACAGGGCCCTTGGGAACACCCCCTTCCATGAGCTGTCCCCCTGCCTAGAGGGCCCTTTCCCCAGATATCCCTGTGATGGTACCTTCTTATCATTCGAGTCTCAAATTAAATGGTACCTTCTCAATTTGGCCTCCCTGAGAACCCACTCTAAGATAGCTGGATAGTCACTCTCTATCTCATCATCCCACTGTATTTTCTTCATAGCATACGTCACCATCTAAAATTAGTTGTTTATCTACTTGCTGATTGTTGGTCTTCTCCCTCTAGGATGTGGCCTGACAGCTTGGCTCTTGTCTGCTGCTTGGTTCTTGTTCACTGTTTCATCCCCAGTATCTAGAACAATGTCTGGCACATAGTGGTGCTGAATGAATGAACAGTCCTGGCCTATCTTCATCCTACTCCATCCCTGCAGTGTTCCCTAAGCTTTGGAGGGATGGAGGTGGGTGGAGGTCTTCAGACCTGCCTTGTTAATGATAGCCCCTAATGCCTACAACCTGGAACGACTTTCCTCCCTTCCTGGCCACCAACCTCCTCACTTCCACACTTATTTTCCCTTTTCTTCCTCGTCATTCATGGACTCCCATGGATAGGAGTACAGGAAAATGCTCACTATCAACTCTTGCAGGATTAAACAAAGAGGCCCAGAAAAGTGACAGCTAAAGTTTGCACAGTGCTTCCCACCCCTCCAAGCATGTCCTCAAACTTTATCTCACTATGGTCTATGGGGAAGGGAAGTAATTTTTATCCTATCAGTGAGACTCAGAGAGGTCCAGCAGCCTGCCCAAGGAGTGAGTTGCTCTATTAGCAGTGCCTTTATTCTGCTATTTGGGAGCTCTTAACATGCTCATCCAAGATTTAGTTGCTAAGCTCCTAGGACATGTGTGTAATTGTTGTCTAAAATACAGAACAGCAGAATGTGTAATTAGGTGCTTTTAATAAAGCCCTTTTGGGGGCGCCTGGGTGGCGCAGTCGGTTAAGCGTCCGACTTCAGCCAGGTCACGATCTCGCGGTCCGTGAGTTCGAGCCCCGCGTCGGGCTCTGGGCTGATGGCTCAGAGCCTGGAGCCTGTTTCTGATTCTGTGTCTCCCTCTCTCTCTGCCCCTCCCCCGTTCATGCTCTGTCTCTCTCTGTCCCAAAAATAAAAAAAATAATAATAATAAAAAAAAAAAACGTTTAATAAAGCCCTTTTGGATGATGCAGATGCTGATGCTGATGATGCTGAAGATGATGGCAATTTTTGATAATGATGACGATGAAGATGCTATCCTTGAAGACAAGGACCAGTAGGGAGCCCTTCTCTCAGAATGGAGCCAGAGCCAGCACCACGGGCAAAGGGCTGATCAGGATGCAGCACTGCCTAGCATGTGATCTGAACTGGAGTTAGGCCACCTGTGACCTCCTCAGGGCTCCATTCTAATTGTTTGTGTGGCCTCACCAAGTGTCAATTTCCTCACCTCTAAATGGAAAGATTACCTGACTCTCATGGTTGTCGGGAGGCTCTTTGGAAGTAATCAAACAGGCTTATTATCACCGAGCCTTTATCACAGTAAATGCTTTGTGGTTATACTACCAAATTCTTACAAACAGCATACTTTAGGACAGGTAATGTTCTAAGCACTTTATATATATTAGCTCATTTATGTAACACACTATAAGGTAGGAATGAACATCCTCACCTCTGTTTAATAGAGAAACTAAGGCACACACCGGGAAGTAGAATAATTTGACGATAATCACAGAGCCAGAAAGTGCCAGACCTGGGTGTTGGACCAGGTGTGAGTCCAGAGGCATCACACAGCCGTGGTGACCATGGAGACACACTGCTCAGATCTCCCTTTGAAAGAACTGTTGCGGTGGACAGAGTTGGGCCACCTTGAGACTCATCACAGCATCCACACCAAGGCCTTGCTTGTTCTGGGCCACTCTCAGCCTCTGACCCACAGCAGGGGTGCCAGAGCCGGGCCATTCCTGCCCAACATGAGACTCCTCTGATGGGCAACTTTTGTGTGCATGTGGTAAAATATACATAACATGAAATTTTCCAAATTTATCATTTTAGCTATTTTTAAATATACAGATCAGTGGCATTACGTACATTCACATTGTTGTGCAACCATCATTGTCATTCATCTTCAGAACCTTTTCATCTTCCCAAACTGAAACCTCATACCCATTAAACATTAACTCCTCAGGGTGCCTGGGTGCCAGTCGGCTGAGTATCCAACTCTTGATTTTGGCTCAGGTCATGATCTCACCTTCATGAGATCAAGCCCACATCAGACTTAGCACTGGACATGGAGCCTGTTTAAGATTCTCTCTCTCTCCTTTTCTTTCTGCCCCTCTCCTGTACTCTCTCTCTCTTAAAAAAAAAATTGGGGCACCTGGGTGGCTCAGTTGGTCAAGCAGCTGACTTTGGCTCAGGTCATGATCTCACAGTTCATGAGTTCAAGCCCCACATTGGGCTCTGTGCTGACAGCTCAGAGCCTGGAGCCTGCTTCAGATTCTGTGTCTCCCTCTCTCTCTGCCCCTCCCCAGCTCTCTCTCTCTCTCTCTCTCTCTCTCAAACAAATAAACATTAAAATTGTTTTTAAAAAATTAACTCCTCAGTTTACATAGTATATTCTTTTCGAAACTTCTTTTGTTATATATATCTCATTATAGAATCACATGCCAGTAAAAAGAAGAAAATTAAATTCACCTGTTATTCAGGGTGCCTGGGTGGCTCAGTCGGTTGTGTCCCACTTTGGGTCAAGTCATGATCTCACTTGGGTCAAGTTCATGAGTTTGAGCCCTGCGTCAGGCTCTGTGCTGACAGCTCAGAGCCTGGAGCCTGCTTCAGATTCAGTATCTCCCTCTCTGTCTGACCCTCCCCTGCTCGTGCTCTGTCTCTCTCTCTCTCTCTAAAAGAAACAAACATTAAAAAAAATTTTTTTTAATAAAAATAAATAAATTCCCCTGTTATTCTACTACCCCAGATCATTTTCAACTATTGCCATCTTAGTTTCATTATGAGGTAGATCTCTCTAGATGTTTATCTCTGCATATTAGTTTCTCTTTAAAGAAACTGGTTTCTCCCACAGGATGAATTGGATGGAAATAACTTTAAGGAGCTTGGTTTCTATAAAGTGACTCAGTTCAGGAATGCATTCATTCATCCATTCATTTAATACATATTTATTAAACAGCTACTAAATACCAGGCCCTGTCCAGGCACAAGGGGTATAAGACAGACACAGCACTTGACTCCAGAAAGCATACAGGCTAGTGGAACCAGACACATCACCAAGCAATTACAATACACTGCTGTGTGGGTCAGTGTGGGGCCTCCAAGCCCAACCTGGCTTCTTGGAGAAAGGAGTATCTAAGTCAAGACCCGAGGAATGGTAAGAAGTTAACCAGGCAAAAGAGAAGACATTTTAAGAGGCATTATAGGACTAGAACCTAGGCAAAGGGGGATACCTATAATAGGCTTGATTGTCTAAGGAGCAGCTGACTCTGCCCACAACTGTCAAAAATGATGAAGGAAGGTGTGCGTGTGTGTATATGTGTACATGTGGGAGTGCGTGTGTGTGTGTGTAGCAGCAGCAACTCAGACTGTGCAGGCGATAAGACCTTACCCAGTCGAGGCCTTGGCTGGGTAAAGGCTTTCAAACAGTAGATACTCAGGAACCTACCAGAGGAGTGAAGCTAACTGATCCCTAGCCTCAGACTAGAAATATTGGCCAACCATTCAGCTGAGGACAGGGATGGCAGTGTCTCCATCTCCGTGAAGTTCATAGGACCAAGGTAAAGCCAGACACAAAGAGGACCCTCGGTTATAACTGGTGCCCATGGATTGGTGTTTCTCAGCCTAAAGCCGCATCAGGCAAGAGGAAGACACCCTGAATGATGCTACATCATCTCATGACACCTCTTAAGAGTGCAGTTGGTTCAACATGAAGAAAGGAGTCTAGGGTCTTGGAAGTGATGTAGAAAAAATATGAAAGCTTGGCCTTTCCCTGAGTAGATCTCAATTATTAATCAACAACAGCAGCAGCACTGCCCATCACAGAATTTCCATCATAGGTTAGAGATAAGGAGATAGTAAGTATTGTTTCAAGTATCGTTTTGATATTTTTAATAAAAGTTTTATTTATTTTGAGAGAGAGAGAACATGAGGGTGGGAGGGGCAGAGAGAGAGGGAGAGAGAGAATCCCGAGCAGGCTCTGCACTGTCAGCACAGAGCCCATCATAGGGCTCGAACTCATGCACTTTGAGATCATGACCTGAGTCAAAATCAAGAGTCATTTTCCTTTTGATTAACAGCAATTGACATCTTATTTTCTGCATCCTATAATTTTTCTTGGCCACTTTCTATTTTATTTTATTTTATTTTATTTTATTTTATTTTATTTATTATTTTCCTGAGAGAGAGAGAGAGAGAGAGAGAGATAGCGTGAGTGAGGGGCAGAGAGAGAGGGCCAAAGAGAGAATCCCACGAGGGGCAGAAAGAGAAGAGAGAGAAGGAGACAGAGTGTGGAGTCCAAATCAGGACCCTAGCTCATCCTACGTGGGGCTCGAACCTCACCAATCATGAGATCATGACCAGAGCCAAAGTTAGATGCTTAACGGACTATGCCATCCAGGCACCCAGCCATGTTCTATTTTAGCATATGAGTATAAATAAAATTATTTAATGAGAAAATAGCAAAAAGGCTCGAAGTGTGCTGACAGGCACCACCATCTCATTAAATGTGAATATCTTTATGAAGTAACTTAGGTTTTTTGGGGGAAAAAAGCAGTAGAAAACCACAGTGTGGTATTTTTAGGTATGTAGGTGAGGCAGCACCCACACATGCCACGACATCCCTCTGAACAGTGAAGACAGCTCCTCACTTCTCCCAGACTGGGAGGGATGGGCTAAGATGACCTGGCAGTACTTCCTTAATGTTATCTTCCTTGAAAGTCAGCAAGCCTTCCACTCCCACATCCAAGTTCAGTGCATGGTGAAGCAGCTGCCAGCAGTGGCCTAGGGAGTCAAGGCCAGTGTCTGTGGTCAATGAAGCCTTGGCACTGAAATGGACAGGAACACCCTCAGTCCTTGTAGCTCGAGCCCTAAGATAGGCAAGCACAAAAAGCAGTACCTACCAGGGGTCTGCATGCCCTGCCCATGGAAGAAATGTCACTACCTCCCTCAGGGACAGGCCTGGGTGGGGGTTGTCACTGGGTGGGTGAACACCCACTGGTCTTCTCAGCCAGTTTGGGAATCAGGGTAAAAATAACACTAGCCGCATCATTTTCCAAAATTAAGGGCGATGCTATAGCAAATGTATGCAGATGTATACAGACACAGATGGGAACAAGTGTATTTAATTGTAAATGAGTCAGAACAGAGCAAATGAGATTTCCCTTATATTTGGGTTCCAAAAATTACAGAGAAAATGTGCCTGAGGCAGAAACAAATCCCAAAAAAAAACACCCAACCCCAAAACACACACACACACACACACACACACACACACACAAATGCGAATAGGTTATTGAGGCAAGAGCCACATGGGAAGGAACCTTTGGCATCCAGAAAGCTGTGGTAGTTTAGGTCTCCTCAGGGTTTGTGAGAAAATGTCCTGGCTCCCGAGAGCTTGATCCCAGAGGCCCTAATGTGGCCACAGTGCTCACAGATGGACACAGGCAGAGAGAGCAGGACCCAGGGTACCTTGGCCTCATCTGGCCCCTAGATGCCACAGAAAATGGGGAAAGGAAGGGAGGCTGTAATGGACTGTCCACAAGAAGGGAGCCAAGGGCTAGCTTTTGGGACTTCAGAGAAATGAACTGAGGCAGAGAAAAAGAGAGAGGGAGAAAAGCCCCCTCTGTGTAGTTCCCTGTGGCCAGAGAGAGAGGAATGACAACAGAATACTTCTTGTCAGAGAAAGCACCATTTCTTCTCAACAGCCTTAAGGAAGGTACCTGGTACAGTGCCAGGCTCTTGGTAGATGGCCAGTAAATACTAGAAGGAAAGGAAAGAGAAGGGATGGAAGGAAGGGAAAATATATCATCTTGCAAGTTCCTTCCATTCTGTGGACTGGAGTGGAAAACTGCAGAAGCAAAAGGGCAGATTGCCCAAGTAAAAAGGACATACTTCGAAAGACAGGAGTGTACCTACCCTCAGAGCCCAGAGGAATGTGGGGGAAGGGCAGGAAAGTGAGACACACCAATCCTGCCAGACCTCCTACCCCTGTAAGCTCATCCCCTCCACAGGCAGCAGTCTGAAAGTCATACCTACCCCCCTGTGCCTGAACGATTGTAATTTGCTCCTCAGAGAACAGAAAAACATCGGTTCCACCACAGCAGGTGAGCCATCCCCAGGGCAGCAACCTGACACACAAATCAGGAAGCTTTGTGCACCTGAGCAGCTTCAGCACTCAGCAGGAATCTAATAAAAGTCTGCAAGTAGATGAATGTGTGAATGAATGCATGCATCAATGAATGAACACAACA